ATTATAATTTTATTAAAGAAAACATTTATTAAATAAAAATACATTGATAACAACTTACTTTTAAATAAATTTTTCACTTGTATATTTATCAAAATATTACACGTATGTTTGAAAAAAAGATACACACTTATGATGGAATAAAGATCCCATTAACTAATTCACGACCAATTAACGAATTTTGTAGACTACATTTCTTTAATATTTTTATACCGAACAATAAATTATTGGAATTAACTACATTCATGAAACATTTTTAAGTTTTTAAATAAATTTAAAACAAAAAAGATTACATCGTATATTTATAATTAATTGATATTCATGATATAACAACTATTAATCATTATATTCTTCTTATAAATAATCAGCTAAAATAAACTTGGCATATGTAAATTTAAGTTTGGGTCAAGTCACAGATGTCTAGGCCTGTAAGACCAACTACAACCAATAGCAACATTTGTTTTTTCCACCAAAAGTAGCGGTATTTGATGTACAAAGTGATTATCTCCGACCATCTACGTCAATTTTTAACAAAAAAATTCAAAGAATATTTTGTTTCCAACTTATAATTTTCAGTATAGCTCTTATATTTATTCAGTATATATTTTACGAATTTGTCTTATATCATACTTGTTACAAAAACTTTTAACATGAACATGGTGCATAAAAAAAATATTTTCGTGCTACAAATCTATTCTAATAAATGAAAATAATTTTTACCACTTGTCATTTTCTCATGCATTTTGCCACATAACATTTTTTGGTAAATTTAAATTAAATTTTATCCACATATTATTTTATGGTTTTTTATATTTTATTAAATTTCATATATAGTATTAAATGGATATTAATTTTAATAATACACTTTCTAAACTTAAAATCCCTAATTGAGCAATTCAATCTATTTTAACGTCATTAAATTAGGAACAAAATTAACATGTACATCTTCCTCCTTGTATTCTTATTTCTTCTCTCAACTATGATTTCTATACAAAAATCTATTATGTTACTATATTATCATATTATTTCATTTATTAAAAACTTACGGTCAAATTTTAATTTGGAATGTGATATAGAAGAAACCTAATGCTTTTAAGTAATTTTATCCTATTTTATTTTTCAAAATATATAGAGAATATATATCTCACTGAAATATAATAAATGTTGTTATAATATATTATATTTAACATCTTATTAATTTATTTCTTTAAGTTTTGTTATGTTGTAAACCAATCCAACCGGAACCGATTACAATTTGATATTTTTTTAATCAACCCGTTTATTACACGGGTTTCACACCTATGGTGTAATATACGACAATATGATGCAGGCTTGGAGATGCCCAAATTAAGAAGAGTGTTAAGTTACTTGGGTTTGGATTGGATGTTTTAGAAATTGTAAACGTAATTATTGTTGCTAAAAACTTACATAAAGCCCATCTGGTGGTAACATTTTTCACCTAAAACAAGTTAGCTCCATGACAAAAAGTTCAGTTTTCTAAGTTCTAACAACCGAAACATGAATGATGTTTTCTAAACTAGTAAAGCTTATTGATGATTGCTAGGCTCAATGGAAGATGTTAGTGGCATCTTGGCCCTACCAGGGGCATCAAAGAGGCTCAAAATTTTTGATGCGGATCTGAGCAAACCAGAGACATTTGAAGCACCAATAAAAGGTTGCATTGGGGTGTTTCATGTTGCTCATCCGATTGATGTTCAGGGAAAAGAATCCGAACACGTGCTAACTGAAAGAGCGATGAAGGGTAGTTTGGGTATTCTACATGCATGCATCGACTCAAAAACAGTAAAGAAACTTATATACACATCTAGTGTATCTACCGTTGTGTTTAATGAGAAACGTTTGATCAATGAGATCTTAGATGAGGAATCATGGAGTGATGTTGATTTAATTCGCTCTAATGATAAGCAACATGGATCTTCATATTTCATTTCCAAGATATTGACTGAAAAAGCAATCTTAGAGTTTGCTGAGAAAAAAGGTTTCGATGTTGTCACTGTCCTTCCGACGTCTCTTCATGGTCCATTTGTTGGTCCGGATTGCCCACGCTCCGTGCGTGGGTCAATGGCTTTGATCTTCGGTCAGTTACTTGTGTTATGCTAATATTTGATGCTAAAATCATTAACATTACAAATGAAATTTCTTTGAGAAGGTAATGATATTAAGAATAAAATAATTTTTAGGTGACGTTGACAAAGGTCGGATGTTTGTGAAAACGCCTTTTGTGCATGTTGATGATGTTGCTAGGGCACACATTCATCTTTTTGAGCATCCGAATGCGAAAGGGAGGTATATTTGTTCGAAAATCACAGTCACTGTCGATGAGTTATACAAACTATTATCAGAAAAATATCCAGAATATAAATTGCCAATTATCGAGTAAGTTGTTATATTTTTATTCCTCTTGTGAAAAATCTTTAAGCATTTTTTTACTTGAACAAACAAAAATCCCGCTAATCGGACTCTTTTTAAAGTTTTTTGAAGGCCGCCGAAAAAGTGTACATGCCTGAAGTCTCATCAAGAAAACTCTTGGGCACCGGATTCGAGTTCAAGTATGGAATTGAAGAAATGTTTGATGATGCCATTGATTCCTGCAGAAGACACAATATTTTATGAATTGTGAATAAACTTGAAGTTCTTTTTCCGCGGCGAAGATTTTATATGCTTAAACAAATAAAAAACTATTTCCACTTTGCTTTATAATAGATGTTCTTGTATGATGGAATACATTGAGTTAATGAAAAAATGACCCAATAAAAATTTTATGTAACAAAATATCATATTTTCAACATTTATTACAAAAGAGTGAAAAGACCCTTTATTTATTTTAAAAAAAAAAAAGCTTTGCTAATTAAGTTAAAAAAGGGCTATCATTAACTTTTTATAATGGGCTTAAAATATTAAAATAACTGATTTTACGTTTTAATAGGTTAATCAACTAATGTTTTAGTAATTTATCTGTTATTCAAGGTTGAAAATGTCACCGTCTTTTAAATTTTACGCTTTTAGACTCAAATTTTATATTTTATTACAAAATTTGTATGAATTTTAAATGTTGTTACTAATTCGTCTCGAATATTTTTTTTTTTTTATAAATCTGTTTTTATAATGGTTTATAAGATTTATTTCTTAAGTTCTTTTTCCAACATGTTAAAAAAATAATTTTACAATATTTTCTAAACTTTTTTTTTTTCCAACTTTTGCATTATATCATATAGATTAGCAAACCAATTTTCTCTATGATTTTGCGACACTTGAATTTGACGAAATAAATCAGTTTCAGTCGCTATTGTATTATTTCCTCTGCTTTTAAATTTAATTTTTTATTTCATCAAATCCAAGTGTTGCAAAATCATTGAGAAATTAATTATAACATCCGTTTCCCAGAATGGATCAATTTAGTGTATTATGGAGTCAAAAACTTGGTTTTTGGGGAAAAACCGGGTGTCACAACGTAACCATAGAGAGGTCACAACATGACAAACAACGTGACACATAGGTGGTCACGACGTGAGGAAGACTGCAACCCAAACCCATGATCTTTAAAGGTTTCCTTTGTATTTAAACCCCATCAGCGTGTAATTGATGTTGTGTTCGAGAAAAAAAAAGTCGGTGGAGATAAGATGATATGAAGAAAGGTATACTTGGAATATATTGTAATGCTTGCATTAAGAAAAAAAAATATAGGGAGGGCAAACGTTGTTGGAACGGAAGAGATGAGAGCGTGGAAGGCAAGGTTTTTTTTTTCTTTTTTGTCAAATGGGTTTTGTTCAACGGAGTTCTATCTTTTTTGGTTGGTCTAAAATCAAATAAAATAGTTTCATTTGACTTGGTCAATAACTAATTTTGGTCTTGTCCAATCCATGTTAAACATTAGTTAAGAGAGTTTTTGTTCTGCCAAGTTTCGTGCACCAAACAATAACTTAAAGACCATTCAATCCACATATTTTCAAAAAGTTTGGAAAATTACTTTCTTTAAATGAATATGAACCTACAACTTTCCCAAAATGTTGTTAGGTGTGGGCAACGCCCATGACGCGTTTTTCCACATTATAACATCACAAACACCGCTCCTCATTCCCGTTTTTGCGTGTTATTAGCTTGCACGTTGCTTCGTGTCAGTCCATGTTAAACGTTAGTTAAAAGAGTTTTTGTTTTGTCTAGTCCCACACACCAAACAATAACTTAAAGACCATTCAATCCACATATTTTCAAAAAGTTTGGAAAATTACTTTCTTTAAATGAATATGAACCTACAACTTTCCCAAAAGGCTGTTAGGTGTGGGCAATGAGGCATTTTTCCACGTTATAACATCACAAACACCGCCCCGTCTTCTCGTTGTGCGCGTTATTAGCTTGCACGTTGCTTCCCGTTATCACCACAACATCCTATAACGCCCGTTTTCTTGTCTTTTCTTCTAAATACGTCGGTGGGCGTTTCCGACCAGTCTAAGGCTTTGGCAGCCGTTTTAGCCAAATTTACTCAATATATGTTAATTTTAAAAAAATACTAATCTTAACTAAAACGGTGAAATTTTCGCAAAAAATTCTAACATAAAGTACATTTCGCAAAAATATAAAAAATCGTGAAATATGAGATCAAAGACCACTAAAAAACAATTTCACGAATCACAAAGTATCTATCATAAAATAATATTAATTCGTTTATAAAAGATATAACATCTGGACGGTATGCAACCGTTTTTATCAAGTTATCCAGTTTGTGAAGCGTTAATTATTAAAAAAAAAAAATGGTTTTAGTAAACACAAAAATCATATAATGCTTTTTTTAAACATCCTGGGATAATACGTTGGATTTTTCATACAATATCTCTAACGATGATACTTTGTGATAAATATAAATTTTGTGATAATCCATTTAAAAAATACTTTAGTTTTTTATTTTTTTGGTTTTCCTGTGGCTTTCAAGTACTTGTCATTTTCTATTTGTTGCCTATATAAATCGATTAAAAAAATTAAAAAGCATGGTTCTCTTTGGAATAATTTAAGATGAGAATGACCAAATGTGAAAACGAGGTGACCTTGCCTAGTTGCCTCACTTCACGTCATCACGTGAAAAAAGTTTGAGTAAAGGTTCAAATTCTAGTGAAACGTCGTTTATCTTACCAACTTATCAATTATCATTCCAACAAGTTAATTTCTTTTAAACCCAAAACAGATTCATACGGAATAGAAACCATGGAGAAAGGATGTGTTTGTGTAACAGGAGGGACGGGGTATTTAGCATCATGGATGATCAAAAGGTTGATTGAAGAGGGATATCTTGTAAATACAACAGTTAGATCTAATTTAGGTTTGTTCTTTTTCGTTTTGTAAAAAATTCTTCAATCCTCTCTCATATTAATAGAATTGAGTCAAAATCACATCTTATGATGAAACCAGAAAAACATCATAGTTAAAAACAGAAATTCCAGATAATGTAAATTTGTTTTTTAAGATCGTTATATTTTTGTTAGTTTTATTTTTAAGTTCTGAATATTTATTGGGTTTAGTTGGTTACTTGGAGATCGATGGTGTAGCTGAAATTATTAGCTTTACTCAATTGAGTTCAAAAGAAATAAGAAGTAGAACAATGAAATATTTGTAAGCTTTATAATACAAGAAATTCAGTTTTTCTCAATTAATCATAAGAAAGAAACCATTAACCACTTGTTAACATTTGTAGCTAGCATAGTCATAGTGGATCGATTCTCAAAAAAATTATAATTGTTAGGATCTATGAAAGATGTGAGCTACCTGAAGGCTCTACCTGGGGCATCAGAGAGGCTTAAGATTTTTGAAGCAGATCTAAGCAAACCTGAGACATTTGAGGCACCAATCAGAGGTTGCATCGGGGTGTTCCATGTTGCCCATCCGATTGATTTTGTGGGCAAGGAACCCGAACAAGTGCTAACAGAAAGAGCGATCAAGGGTAGTTTGGGTATTTTACAAGCATGCATTGATTCAAAAACCGTTAAGAAACTGGTGTACACCTCTAGTGCATGTGCTGTTGTATTGAATGGTAAAAATATCAATGATGTCTTAGATGAGAATTGTTGGAGTGATTTTGAATACATTCGTACTTGTCATAAGGAATTTGGAGCTTCCTATTTCATTTCCAAGACAATGACCGAAAAAGCAACACTAGAGTTTGCTGAGAAGAAAGAATTCGACGTTGTTACTGTTATTCCAACGTATATCCATGGTCCATTTGTTGGCCCGCATTGCCCGAACTCTGTACGTGTTTCAATGGCTATGATATTTGGTGAGTTCCTCATATCATCTTTACATTCTATTTAAAATCTTTTTAATTAAATTTCTTTGACACAAATTGTATAAAGATCCATAGCTTCTTTTGTTTACATTTTAGTGTCTTTACGTGCTTATTAGCTAATTTTTTTTTTTTTTTTTTTTGTCAATGATCTTTTTACAAATCAATAAAATTCAAAACTAATTTCAGGTGAAACACATAACTATAAGCTACTTAGAAAAACCGCTTTCGTACATGTTGATGATCTAGCTAGGGCACATATTCATCTTTTTGAGTGCCCAAATGCCAAAGGAAGGTATATTTGTTCGAAAATTGAAGTCACAATCGAGGAATTGTACAAACTATTATCAACCAAATATCCAAAAAATAATATCTCAAATATCGAGTAAGTTTTATTATTATTGTTTTCTTCTTGTTTGAAATGAACAAAAATCCTTTTAACCGAGTTTTTTTTAATAGATTTTTGATAGATGCCGAGAAAATGGAGTTTCCTAGTGTCTCTTCCAAAAAGCTCCTAGGCACTGGATTTGAGTTTAAGTATGGGCTTGAAGAAATGTTTGATGATGCAATTGATTGTTGTAAACAAAAAAATATATTATAAACTATTAATACTTGTATAAGATATATTATTGATATGTAAAAACAAGCTTTGGGTATGATATATTTAATAATACTTCAATAACCCATATGGACTAACTGTGATCGAAGTAGGGTAATCATTCTTTCACCATAGGTCATGGACCGTGGTAGAGGCTCAATGATTGATTGGTGATGGTGTTGGTCCGATGGAAAGAGGCACACACCACTCTAGCTCAAAATTGATCGCCATAAATATGCGAAGATTCCATGAGTAATTTACATATTATAAGGATATTTTCAACCCAACATCAAACATATTTTTATATCAAGTCTGATATAAAGTTGTCAAGATCGTAGCCAACATTTAGCATTATCTTTTACAACAAATTAATAAAACCGTAAACACTAAATTTCTTTCAACTCTTTATATTTAACACCAAAAATATTATTCTAGATGTATTTATTTGTATCTAACTTTTATAATTTTTTTTCTAAAAATCCCCTTATATATTTTAATTTTTAGAAAATCGATACATATGTGTTATTATAAAAACTTCATAATTATTTTATTAGATAGTTATAATTAAATTAAAATTTTCTTATAATTTATCATATTGTTGAAATAACTATTTATTTAATAATAAAATTAATAATGTTAAATATAAACTATTATTAAACAAACAATAAACTAAAAAAATAATAAATTTAAACCAGAATGACTAATTTTTACTTCAACATTATGGTTGGTATTGATAAATAGTCAAACATTATGTTTTATTATATTTTTCTGTTATGCTATTCACTAACATCAAATTTAATGTAATGTATATCGTTGGATTGAAAGAGATGATATGTGAGTTTTATTTACTTTTTTTACAGTTTATTTTAGCATATTTTGTTTCATTTTTAGTTAATCATTATGTATATTTTTCATTTTTATTAAATTTATCTATATCGGGTACTTTCTAGTTTTTGTGCTTAATTTTAAATTTTTAGAAGACTACCGCAGAGATGATCGGGTATTGCGAAATATTAAAAAAGGACTTGAAGATGGTGCATTTGGACTTGGTTGTTAAATAAGATCGAATCAAATGAACTTGATCTTGAATGGAACCAGGCCCGGTCCTGACGGTGGGCAACCCGGGCGACGGCCCAGGGCCCATGACTATAAGGGGCCCAAAATTTCTAAAATATATAGTATATACATGTATATAAAAATTAATTTTATGTATATGTCTTCTATGGGCCCAATTATTGTTTTTTATATTAATAGTGAATTTTGTGAACATTATAATTGTTTGTTTATTTTCGAATTAATTTTATTATATTAATGATTTTGGAGGGCCTATTTTTTCTTTTTGCCCTGAGCCCATTATATGTTTGGACCGGCTCTGAATGGAACTTGGAAGCAAAGAAATGACAAATGGCTAGTTGGTTATTAAAAGAAGTCAAACATATCTTTGGGCTAGTTATGGAGAATCATTGGGCCTATTAGACTTGTGTGATCAAAAAAGTATTTGAGCTTCGGGTGGTTAAAAAACAGGTGAATTGGGCCGATTTTGGAGCATTTATAAGAATCATGTGCTTATAATTCGGGTGAAGAAGAGTTGGAGCAAGAGATTAGAAAATCAAACTTTGAAAGAGACTTAAGCATGCAAGCCCAAGAAATTCAGCCCACTACATGAACCATATATATTTTATGCCTAGAGACCCATAGCCCACGTGGCTCCTGTAAGGGCAATTTCGTCATTTCATCTCTTTGGTTGCTATTTATGGATGGTTGGTGGCTCTCTTTTGGCAGATCGAAAATTAGGAGCAAAACATTTTCTCTAGAGTTTAAAGCTTTGAAGAACACTTGAAGATTAGGATTTTCATCTCATTTTCTCTTGGATTATGTTTGGTATTTCTAAACTAATTTACTTTACCTTAATCTTAGTCGTGTAAGGCTAAGTTTATCTTTAGTTGATATTGGTTTAACCCATAGATGATTAGTTATTTTGACGATTGTTTATGAACTTGTGGTTGAAGTTTATGGATGTATTTTCTAGCTAAACATCTTTTTATGTTCATTTGTCTTTAATCGCGAGTTTAGATGAATGAATGCTTAATTAGTTGGTTAATGATCTTGATTAAGTAATAGATCCTTAAATTAACAAGAAACAAATGGTTTACACGTTTGTGTTTATTTCACTTAAATCATGAAAGAATTTCCTCATAGCGGTAATGAAAGCATAATTTATTTCTTTTTTGATTTGGTGGCTCTTAAATCTTAATGCTAGTTGATTTTCATAAATTACACGTTTCATTGATTTATGACTTTAACTAAGAAAACCCTCGCCAAATCTTTTCAGATCTGTTCATCACTAGAGCCGCTACCCTCTTTATTGGTTCTTCCTTCTTCGGTGGAGATGAAGGACGCCCCCTTGCAGCATCATCGACGAACTGTGGCTTGAGTTTCCAGACGAAGCAGATGAAGCCGTTTATCGAGCTTACATATCTAGACGAGATTAGAGCAATAATTCTTTTCCATTTTTTTCTAGTGGAGATGAAGTACGACGAATATTTCCATATTTGTTCTGGTGGTCGTTCGACGACTCCGTAGAAGGCAATGAGAATGGGAAGATGGATATCTGTAGAGTCGTTTGGGAGTTAGGGTTTTCAAAATGTAAACCATCTCAGATCGAAAAAGATGAAGATGAAGAGGAAATCATCTGGCGGCGGTTAGACAAAAACAGTGGCTACTGGCAACAGGTGGTAGTGGGGTTGTTTTTTTAAGTGTAAAAATTAGATGACCGACGATGGTTTCAAGATTTTCCAGGTCCGATGTGTTTTTATGTGTTTGGCGAATAAAATCATCAAATGTAGGTGGACAGACAGTGGTAGGCGATGGTAGTAGTGGTGGCAGCAAGCGTGTTGTTCTAAATGTGTTTGTATGTGTTCTTGAGCATTCCTGAAAAAAGAGAGAGAGATGTATTTTATTTTTAATTGTTTTTTAATTATTATAATAAAAAAAAATAAAAAAAATAAAGGGTCAAATCCATCATTATACATAAATTTAAAATATTTTAGGCTAAACTCGCAGCAAAATCAAACTTTTGTACGACTAAAACGATTTCAAACAATTTTGGACAAAACTTGGGAGTTGTGATATATTCTTTCAATTTTGATTAAGAAATGGAGTTGATGATGGAGGGGCATAATGGTAAAAGCCGTTACGAAATCATAGGAGGAAACAAATGGCGCTTAAAATCAACACCCGTCAAACATAACCAACCGAACACACTTCCACTGGGTAGGCCTCCTATTCCTAGCCTTCATTGTCGCTTCTCCTCTCTTTCTTTCTCTACATTTTCTCTCTAGAATTCCATCTTTGTTCAATCATCGATCTGTAATTTCACTTTTCCGAGATTCGAAATTTCGAACTTGTAGTTTCCGGATCAGATATTAGGATCTTTTGAACCTGTAATTTGATGTCGGTGTCCGATTCTGAAACCTCCTCTCATGGAGGAGAGTATAAGATGTTCCGTCAAGTCACCCGTGATCGTAAGTTTCTATCTAATTTTTTGAATGTATAATGTATGAAGTTCCTTTGCGTAAAGTTATTACGTTTAATTTCAGTATCCTTGAGACTGTTGTTGTACTTTAACAATACGATTAAAATTACTTCCATTAAGTATACGTTTTTGTCTTCATTTAAAGGATTAGAAATTCTATATCAAAATTCAGGTCTGAAGTTTTTTGTTTTACCTAATAAGTCGCAGATCACTCTAATTAACCTATCTAGCATCTTTGATAGCTATACTAAGTGATAAGAACAAACAGTTTCTGTGTTTATGTGGTTGTTCAATTTGTGGAAATTTGCAAGTCTTTGAACAAAGAGAGATTAGATTGCTGTAAAGTTAGGTTAGGAGAAATTGTCATGAAGAATATTATAGAGAGAAACTTGCAGAAAAGTGGGAGTATAGGACCCAGTGGAAAATACAGCTGTTTAAGAAACAAAATGGTCCCATTAACTAATACAAACACTTAAAAGATAATTACAAACAAGCTCATTGTAATAGGAATACAAGCTATGATCAACATGTAATAGTTCAAAAAAAGTTGAAGTTGCAATTGAACTGTGGAAGAAAGCTAATTTATTTTGTTTTGCCAAGTGTCACACATTACAAATGAAGAATTATTATGGTGGAATACATGAGGTAGAACATGAAACTAAATATGTCATTTTTCGCTTATGATGTGGAAAGAGATTATTATTACTTTGCAGGGATACTGTATGAAATGATCAAAGCATCCCACTCAAAGGAGTCAAGATCAATGTGGAAGGTACATATCTTATAATTTTGCATTTTTCACTGATGAATTTGGGTAGAATGAAAATTTTGAAAACTTACTTCATGTTTTATCTAATGATGCATATAATATTTGTTAGTATTATCAAGATATGCTATTATTTCTTGAAATATAGAATGTGTTATACAATGTTTAATGGATCCCAATCCTTTTTTTATTTGAAATACCTAAAAATCATCCCAAATATGACTTATTTATCTGTCAACTTTTCCACTATCATCCCAAAAAAATCAAACTCTTCCTTATGTAACTTTATGATATTTTGCAGGTACTTATCATGGATAGAGTTACTATGAAAGTTATATCTCATTCATGTAAAATGGCAGACATAACAGATCAAGGAGTTTCATGTAAGAATATAAAGTTCAATACTAACATCACCATATATGTTGTAAATTCTTAAATTTTACATTACCATCTTGTAGAATACAAACTTACAGAAATGACATTCTACCAAATGTGATCTCAAGTGTCTTTGTTATCCAGTGGTGGAACAGGTTTTCAAAAGAAGGCAGCCTATGCCTGGCATGGATGTCGTATATTTTGTTCAACCAACAGATGAAAAGTACAATTTCCTTTTTCATCATATAACTCACTTTGATAGTATTTGCATTATGCATGCTTTCTCCGTATCTTCTAATAGATTTTAAGAAGACTAAGCTTTACCTTTTTTTTTTTTTTTTCCTCTCTCATTGACAGCCTTGCCCTGTTTATGCATGACATGACAGGGAGAACACCCATGTATAAAAAGTATGTGAAGAGCTGAAATTTACCATGAATTGAGGTCTTAAATCTTAATTATATCTTGTTCCTTTTCTTATGGTTTTGTCCTCCTGTTGCAGAGCATTTGTTTATTTTAGTTCTCCTATCCCAAAGGATTTTATTGGTAGAATCAAGGCTGATACAACTGTCATACCACGCATAGGTGGATTGAGTGAGGTTCACATTACCATCATATTCTTCTTTTAACTCTGAATCATCAGATATTAATTACATCTGTAAATAGTCACACCTTCTGTAAACATACTAAGAGATTTGATTGATACTTGCAGATGAACTTGGAGTACTTTCCTATTGAGAATCAGGTACTATTAAATCCTTTGAATGTTATTAAGAATATAGAGCAGAAAGTATGATTAACTCTCAACATGCTCTATTTCTAGTTTCAGTTTTCCTTTTTATTTTTGAACATGTGTAACTTTTTTTGTTTTTTATGTGTTTGACCCTATATAGGTATTTGTAACTGATCATGAAAGAGCATTAGAAGAGCTGTATGGGGACGATGCTGATACTACTCCTGAATATGATGTTTGCTTACGTGAGATGGCTATTCGTGTTGCCACTGTTTTTGCTTCACTTAAGGTAAAAAGCAAGAACTTTTACTGTGGTAGCACAAGTTGTGTTATATAAAATTGGAAAGCAACAAGTGCTGATAATCTTGTACATTTGGATTTAACATCATCTAGATGTCGAAGCTTGCAACAACTCTCTTTGAATAAACCTTTGAGTCGCGTCGCCTCCTTGAATCTTCACTGAATAGCACATGAACCAACTATATATAAATACCTATCCTGTGAGAGAATGATGTCTATCCAAATCACCTTTAAAATCTGAATCAACATAGCATACTACATCATCTTTTGACCTCTCAAATACCAATCCATTGTCTTTTGTTCTAGACAAAAATATTGAAGATCCATTGGATTGCTCATCACATAGCCTCATATACACAACTATGATCAAGGCTTCTAGTAAAACATGTTATGTCATTAATGAATCAAATCTTTTATATAAAAATGCAGCAAAAGTCTGAAAATCAAAAGCTCTCCTCAGCTCATGTTGCCACTACCAATATGCCTAGTTAGTTAGTTTTATATATTCTGCTGATGAATAAACAAAATTTATTTTGTGCCAAAAAATCACAAGTATTTATCTCCACCTCTTGCTGCGATTGTAGAGCCACATAATCGTAGTACGTCTCTTCTATCTTCTTCCACTAATTATATCATAGAACTGTGTCACATCTCACATCCGTGCGACACGGTCTTATAAGTGGCTATACATATATATATATATATATATATATACATACATATATATATATATATATATATATATATATATATATATATATATATATATATATATATTGGAGTTTCCCTTCTCTCCACAATGGCTCTTTTGGAGAGTTAATATGACTCAGCACATCTCTGTCCATCCTCATGTCTATCCTCATCGAGCCATATTGGTTATTGGTGGTGGCATCTGTATCTTTCTCTTGTATATGTTATATCCACTTGTTATATAACAAGTGGTATTAGAGCTCGCTTATTGTATAACAAGTGGTATCATAACTCGCTTATTGGATAATATGGTATCAGGGTTCTAGGTTAAAACCCTACTGCTGACCATAATCCATAGCAGTAGAACTATTGGATTGTAATTTATTGTTTGTTAGTAAATGTACGCGTGACCTCAATTGCATGGCTAAGTTTCACTCAAATGTATCTGTGTTTCAGGAATTGGATTAAGGGAAGATGATTGGCAGTGCTAAGACGTGTTATGGGCTCTATATCCTACAAGATGACACTCTTTCCGTTGGAACATCTCAAAAATTCAGTTTGTTATCTTTAAATAATCAGTCCCATTCAAATAAAGATAGTGATATCAGGATGTGTAAACACTAACCGGAAAAAATTGTCGATGACCACACTAGATTAAATTGGGTATATCTCGTGAAAACCATATCCAAAGTAGGTGAAAATTTTAAACTTTTCATTCTATGATTCAAACCCAGTTTCACACTAAAATTCAAATCCTCAAGAGTCAACAAGATATCCTATACTTCAGTTCCTGTGTAGATATACCCCTCGACATAATGGAATTGCTGAGAGAAAAAATCGAGGCCTCTTAGAAGTTGTTTGGTCACTTTTTTTTCAGCTCAAGTTCCTAAACATCTTTGGGGTGAAGTTGTTCTCACAACTACCTACCTTTATCAACCGAATGCCTTTTCGGGTTCTCAACTTCCAAACTCCATGTAAAGACAATCTTGCAGTTATTCCCTCATACAAAGTTCGTTAGTCTTCTTTCTTGATTCTAAAATATTTGGTTGCGTTCAAAATCATAGTAAGTTAGATTCCAGATCTATTAAGTTCTTTTTATCGAGTATTCTTCACATCAAAGGGGTTACAAGTTTTATCCTACTGTAACTAGAAATTGTATAATTCTACGGATGTTACCTTCTTTGAGAATCATGCTTACTACAAATCTGAGCTTCAAGGGGAAAACGCAAACAAATCTCATCTTTAGGACTTTATTCCAAGTACCAATACTCAATCTCTAAGTACTAATCCGTGCATCCATACTCAAGATTACATGACTCCTTCATCTCCTTGCCTTATACCAAAGAACAAAGAAAAAGAAATCCTTGTCTTTATGAGAAGGAAACAATCTGGCAAAGAAATAGAGCACACAACACATCTTGAGGACTGCCATTAATCTGAACCAGATCCTCAATCTTTAGAAACTCATTAAGGTAATTCTAACCATGATAATATTGCTAATGATGATTTAGATATTCCTATTGGTGTAAGAAAACGGGTCCGAGCATGCATATTGTACTCAACATCTCTACATACAACTTTATATCCTACAAACTCTTGTCACCATTCTATCAGGCTTTTGTCTCGGTTTGTTGATAATATACAAATGCTTCACACCAAGAGGCAAAAGTCTCATATGCCACAACTAGTTGCTGACATTAGAATCCAACATAGATGACGATACCAACTAAAACATCTTGAGTCTTGATTTAAATGTGAAAGTGCTAATAAAAACATTATGTTGATTTAAATCAATATCAATAGTTTTCTTCAAGGAAATATCCGCATTTGAAATGTTTGTTGAATGTTTGCATCCTTTCAGGAGTTCCCCAATGTACGATATCGTGTAAAGCCCACAGATGGATCTGTAGAGACAACATTTCGTGAATTAGTTCCTAAAAAGCTAGCTTTAGCTATTTGGGAATACATTAAGTCATATCAACATACTATTCCTAACTTCCCACAATCTGAAACATGCGAGTTGCTCATTGTGGATAGATCCGTTGATCTGGTAATTTCCGATTTTTTTTTTCTTTCTTTTTCATAGTTTAATAATAACACACAAGTTCAGGTTGCACCCGTCATTCATGAATGGACTTATGATGCAATGTGCCATGATCTAGTAGACTTGGATGGAAACAAATACACAATGGAGGTACCTTTTGTATAAAAATTCATTTTTCACAATAGAGTAAACTGATGATCTACGAATAGCAACATATTTTGCATGTAGGTCCCTAATAAATCCGGTGGTGCACCTGAGAGAAAGGATTTCCTTCTAGAAGACCATGATCCTGTTTGGCTTGAAATGCGCCATTTGCATATAGCTGATGTACTTCTCCATTTTTATATTATATGTATACTTTTTTCATAATTGAAATATTACAAGTTCTAACATCTTTTTGATTTATGTGATATCAGGCTAGTGAAAGATTGAGTGACAAAATGGACACTTTGATGTCAACAAACAAAGTTGCACAATTACAACAAAAGTTAGTTGTGTCAAACAATGGGAACAATTCATTTTCCTTGTGAGAGTTTCTCACACTAAATTTTTTTTACATCAATGCAGAGATAAAAGTGAATTGTCTACCCGAGACATACAACAAATGGTTCAAGCTATGCCTGCATTTAACGAACAAAAGGAAAAACTTTCACTCCATGTAGAGGTTGGTTCCTGTTAATATTTTTTAGTAAATTACATCTTTGGTCCCAAAAAGTTTTTGTCTTGCAAATTTGATCCTTATTTGAAGTTTTTGGTCCCTGTTGCAAGTAAAATGACTATACTTTTGGGGACCAAAGTTGCAAAAACCAGTTATGCTTGGGGAAAAAAATAGTTATTTTACTTGGAATATGGACCAAAAACATTACAAGAACCTTAAATAAGAACCAAAATTGCAAAAACCAACTATAATTTTTATTTATCTGTTAAGTGCTTGTGGACTGATTGATTACCTGGTTCTATAAATCAGATTGCTGGAAAAATTAATAAAGTTATTGCGGAAGAAGGGCTTAGAGACCTTGGTCAAATTGAGCAGGATCTTGTGTTTGGTGATGCTGGAAATAAAGAACTACTTGAGTTTTTAGAAGAATATGAGGTGAATTAGTGGCCTGAGAAGCTTCTTCTAAGAGTTGTTATTTTTTTCTCTGGCCAACAGTTGTTATACCTCTTACAGGATCATAATGTTGAAAATAGGTTGAGATTGATGATGATTTATGCATTAGCTGATCCTGAAAAGTTTGAGGGTGACCAAGGAGCAAAGCTTATGGAGGTAGCAACTTCATCATTCCATTTTCTTTTTATGTCAATCATAAAATGGAACACAAAATGAAACTTAACCTTTGTTTTGTACTTAAACATATTTTTTGGGCACCCCTAAAGTTGGCAGATTTGACGCCGCAGAGTATGATCTTTATTAATAACATGAGATTGCTAGAGGGTCCACCCAAACCAAAGAAACCAGAACCCAGCGGGGGATTCCTCAAGGGTAAAAAGGTAATTCTTCAATGTGACAAAAAAAAAAATCTTGAATAGTACTCTATTATATCATGACAAGTGTTAAAGTTACATTCTTTTTGGTTATTAGAAAGCGAATACTGCACTGAGGAAGGACAAACAAGGGGAAGAAGAAACATGGGCACTCTTCAGATTTTTTCCTGTTCTAGAGGTGTTGTGCAACTACTATAAATCTATAAAAATATCTTATTATTTCAGTTTTTACAATAATGGTAGCAATTTAACCTATTTATGACTCAGGAGTTACTTGAAAAAATTGACAAAAATCAAATGCCAAAGGACGAGTATGAATGCATAAATGAATCAGAGTCAAGCTCAAGCGGTCGACCGTCAGGCCCTGGTGGTCGAACAGGGAGGGGCGGCGGTCAAATCCGGTCAAGGAGAAAAGCGGCACAAACAAAATCTGATGATGGACATTCAAGGTTACCTTTTCACCCATTTCTCCTCATATGTAAAAACTCATAATTGTAAGAATTTTAGGGACTGATCAATATCAATATGACTTGGATAATTTCTTGGATCGTGATTACAACACTTTCCAAAATCTGTAATTCAACCCTGTTTCTTTCTGGGGTTACATGAATTCAGACTATTGGATAATCCAAGAAATCGAAACATATTACAAGACCAATCTGATTCACAAACACATAAAATGTGTTGATGACACTAAAATCACCAACACATAATTGTGTCTAACTACTTTTTATTTGCAGCGACTCGGTGGTAAAAAATGCAACTGTGGATTTAAAACACTTGGGGCAACGAATTTTTGTTTTTATTATCGGTGGTGCCACTAGATCTGAGGTAAATCTTGGGAAACTGATCTCAAAGATCCCCAACAACATGCCCAAAATATTAGAGAAAACTGAACACAAGAATATAAGTGGAAATCCTCTATCTCTATATGATAAACTACTACTTATTTTGGTTGCCTTTTTGTTGCTAATCATAGTAGTTCATTTGTTTATATGTGTAGTTGCGGATATGTCACAAGCTTACTGCCAAACTGAAAAGGGAAATTGTACTGGGTTCAACTAGCATAGATGATCCACCAAATTACATTACAGTAACAATAAATCTTACTTGTTAAATTCTCTCTATAAATAAACTATTATTGTTCCTTTTGTAACTTTTTTTTTGTGTGTTGCAGAAAGTGAAGATGCTTTCCTTCAGTGGATACGGTTGTTGATATCCAGATGCAAATAATGTCTGGTACTTGGGTTACATGCATATGTATTATGTATATAAATATATTGCAGTTTTTGTAAGTAGGTTTACATTGTGAGTCTTTTTACTAGTTTGTTGATATCCGGATCTTTTTATTCACATTGTTTGTGCATATATTACAACAAAAGTTCTTGTTATTTCTTGTATCTAGCCCTAAATATTACACCACTTTTTCTCTTGTAAAGATTAAAAGACTTTACTCGATTGTGAGGCTATATTTTTCACTTTTACTTTGTGAATTATGAGAAGAAAGTTATGATGAAAAAGTGACTGTGAATGTGAAGGTTGAACCACATGGTATATGTTTAAGAAAATGGAAAAAACTATAAAAGTTTTATGTGACTTGTTGAAGGAAAATTATGATTGTTTTTTAAAAGAATACATCAAAATCCAATGCGAATTCACATATGTAAACCAATTTGCTATTGATTATAAAAGTGTTTTAACTTTTGTTTTTAAGTAGTCATTTGATTCTAGTTAAAAAAAATGTTTACATTTATCTTCTAAAATAACCTTTTGTTTATACATCAACTTCTTACATGTTTCTACATTTGATTATTTTATTTCTAGAAAGTATAATTGATCAAAAAAGAACCTTAAGCGTTTATAAAAGTGAAATGACAGTTTTATCCTTCTAGAATTTAAAGCCCATCTCATTTTGTCTCCACGTCTGGGCTCAAACTCTTTTGCGGACTGTATCCTTTGAACTTCAATCTCTAAAAGACCTCGATCGCAAACAGTTGGATCAATCACTTCCTCCGTATCAAATTGGAATTCGAAATCTCTCCATCTGTTGATCCTATACCATAATCAACTGAAAATGGAACCAATCGTACCAATCGCAATACTTAGTTCTCTGATTCTCGGAGCTCTGATCGCTTTTGTAGCCTTTGGTAGCTACTTTCGCAAGAGGAAATCTGAGGTTGCTTCCATCGCAAAGCCCGCCGAAGCAGCGGCACCGAATCTGAAGAATTCAAAGCCTCAGCAAACTAAGAAATCTCAGTCCAAGCCTCATCATTCACATGCTGATAAGGTAAAAAAAAAATCTGAGCGACATTCAGTTGATAATCATATGAAGCGATGGGCCGATGGTTATGTGTTTATTAATTGATATGATTTTTGGTGAATCATGTGATTTTGAAGTTGGTGGATGAAGTGAGTCACTAATTCTAACCTAATTTTGAGAAATATGATTAAAAGCTTGATGTTCACGCTGAATTGTTGATAAGTTATAAGTATAAAGCCCTTCCAACTTCAATTTCTAGGGCTTTATACACGGCTATTTGTACCAACATTTTTTGTTCACGTTATAAGGATATGATATTACGATGGAGATATACTTGTGAAATCTGGTATACAAGCGATTGTCATGTCAAAACAATGTTGATGTTAAATTCTAAATGAAATCGTCAGGGGAAGGCGATACCTATAAATACGGTAATACAAATGAATTTTATTTCTAAGATTTTGAATCATTAGTAAGGATCATTCATATCCTCTACATAGATACCAAGATCTGTCCTTAATTAGATGCACTATAATATTCATGATGCTAGTTTATATGATTACTGAAGTTAAGAAGTATTGAATATATCTCAAATTCAAAAGTGGACATATAAGTTTTAGTATCCATGCCGATAAGATTTTGTTATGTGTACACATTTTCTGATGGAACTTCAGGTATGTTGTTTCTACTGCATGCTGCTTTTAAATTTAGAAGCATATACGGTTGTCAGATGATTCTATTCAGTAAAGAAATACTTATGAAATCAAGCCTGGTTTCTGAAATATATGATTAAAATTAAAAAATTAATGATGTAGTTGATTCTATGTATCTTTAAACTGTGATAGGTGATCTAGTTGATTCTTAACAATCTGTTTATCAGATCATATTCTTCATCTTATTCTCATTTATGACTATTGGCTGTGAATGTAGGATTTGAACAAGCGCCATCACCCACTAGACTTAAATACTTTAAAAGGTCATGGAGATTCTGTTAATGGCTTATGCTTCTCATCAGATGGTCATAGTTTAGCAACCGGTAATTCTCATCACAATCTTTTAACTTTACAAATAATAACCCAATTATGAGTTTAATGAATTCAGCTTATGTGTCCATGCAGCTTGTGATGATGGTGTAGTCAGGGTATTTAAGTTGGATGATGCTTCAAGCAAAAGCTTTAAGTAAGAACTCCTACGTTTTTATAATTTTATGCTGACTATCATATCAATGTTTCCCACATTATAATGATTTCTATTATTTGGTACTATCATAAATGTAGGTTTATGAGAATTAACCTGCCAGCTGGAGGCCATCCAACTGCAGTTGCATTTGTTGATGATGCTTATTCAGTTGTTGTGGCTTCACAAAATCTTACTGGTGCTAATTTATACATGTATGGAGAAGACAAGCCAAAATCTGGTGATAATATTCAACAGTCAAAGCCTGAAATAAAATGGGAACACCATAATGTTCATGATAAAAAGTATATCATCACTTTATTTGGAACTAAAGCTACTCATGGTGCTGCTGATGGAAGTACAATTATTGCATCAAGTTCGGAGGGTATTTTCTTATACCATGCTAAGTGTTGTATACATAAAAATTTATTCTTTTATGGAATGAAAGGAATGAATCCGAGTAAATGACCATTTTACCCTTTGTTATTTGCCTTGACAGGAACTGATATTAAACTTTGGCATGGCAAATCTGGAAAGCTGTTGGGAAATGTTGACACTAATCAGCTGAAGAACAATATGGCTACCATATCGCCAGATGGACGGTTTATTGCTGCAGCCGCTTTCACAGCTGATGTGAAGGTGAGAAAGTCAAAGTAACTATTATTTTTTACTTTAAGAGTAACATTTAATTATTGAAAATGTTTTTGGTGACAGGTGTGGGAGATAGTATATTCAAAGGATAGTTCAGTGAAAGAGGTGACAAAAGTTATGCAACTGAAAGGCCATAAGAGTGCTGTTACATGGCTATGCTTTACACCCAACTCGGAACAAATCATTACTGCATCAAAAGATGGTTCCATAAGGGTGTGGAACATTAATGGTATTTCATGAAATTTTGTTTTGCTTTTTGTTTTGTTTTTTTTTTTTTTCTGACTAGTGACAAGTGACAAGTGACATGACATACATAAATTGTGAATTGTGAATTGTGAAGTTCGGTATCATCTTGATGAGGACCCAAAGACATTAAAAAGTTTTGAGATTCCACTTCATGACTCAAAAGGCAGTGTGCTGAGCTATGACAGGCTGAGTGTATCCCCTGATGGAAAGATTTTGGCTGCTACTCATGGTTCATTGCTACAATGGCTGTCTGTTGAAACCGGACAAGTATTAGAAACAGCTGACAAAGCACATGATGGTAAAATATTTCTTTTCCCTATTGTAGCATTGTACTCTGAAAAAACTAAAGTTGAAAGTAGAATGCTATAATTGGATAGAATTTTGTACAATGACTTGATAAGAAAAAAGAATGAATTGCAGTAGAAAGAAAGGAATGGAAGTAGGTTGGTATTTCTTGCATTTAGCCCTATTATTATTTATTAATAAATAGGATTAGTCTAGACAAAATTTGGGGATATTTCTTGCATTGTTTCCAGTAGGTTATTTGTGGTTTCAGTTAAATGTTATGCTGGCTTATTAAAATATTATGTATGCAATTGCAGGTGATATCACAGACATCGCATGGGCACCTAAACCTGTTTCTGTGGGTAAGTATCATCTCTCTCTCTCTCTCTCTCTCTCTCTCTCTCTCTCTCTCATAATTTTTGTTTTTTACACCATGCTATTCCCAATTTACTTAATATTTATACAACAAAGTTTCACAATCTTCCCAATTATGTAATTTCTACATGAAATTTGTCATCATGTTTCTTTATTGGATAAATATATGTTTACTGATTTATGCAACAATATCTTACTTTTTTACAATTTATGCAACTATGACCTGTAAAAGTAAAATATTGCATCTTTTAGTCATAAATGAAACGGCCTATTACTTTTGTTGCATAAACTGAAAAGGAAAAGGTGTGTTTTCTTAAATATATTTGAAACAGACACAAGTTAATCGAAGAAAGAAAGAAAGAAAAAGTAGCAATCTGAGATAATAACAAAGTATATGTTTTTTGAACACAACAGGGGATAAATGGTTGAGTATTCTAGCAACAGCTAGTGTTGACAAGAAAGTGAAGTTGTGGGCAGCTCCAGCACTTTGACAAGTTGGTACTATGCCACCAAACCAAAGCAAAGCAGTTTGCCAAAGTAGGAATGCAATGAAAGGTTATAATTTTATACTTTTTGGACTTTTGGGAGTGCTTATAAAGATGAAAGATGGCGTGAGGATCCTATCCCATGGAATAGGTTTTAACCAAACCACGAGACTGTTTTCAGATGATGAGTTGGCATGTAATCCATGTAAGAGAGGAGATGCTTGGTCTTTGTCTTTTCGAGTACTATCAATCTTAACAGATTTCCTTTAAAATGACTACAAAGAGTTTGCCATGTAATGACCACACAAGTCATTACAAGTGCTGCATGTTTCTTCCTTCTTATACTTTCTGTGTAGCTAATTTTTTATCCTTTTAAATCGTCTTTAGGAGGCTTCATACAAATTTTAATCTACTTGCCAAAATCCAATTGTTTAAATAAAAATAACCCAAATTCAAGGTTTATATATATATATATATATATATATATATATATATATATATATATATATATATATATATATATATATATATATATATATATATATATATTAAAGGTTCAAATGAGAACCTCTAAATGTTAATAACCCTAAGAACGTCTAAAAAACATCACTTCATCTTTCTAACATAAACATCATTTGACCATTCTTTCACCTGACTTCAAACGTATCTTCATCTTTGCCCCTTCCTTCATCAGATAACATCCATCATTTCCACTGTCCTTACCACCGATAACTTTGCGCTGGCGACTTACCACCGCCGTCTCCTATGTCGACAGCACCACCGCCACCACCATTTCCTCTGCCAACTTCTGCTACCGTCATAAATCACCACCTCCTCTGATCCTTAGTGAATATTCGTATCTACATCAGATCTTACTAGATCCACATTAGAAATTACCAGATCTACATCAGATTTAACTAGATCTACATCATATCTCCGGTGAAACATCCATCGATGAAACATCCATACCTGACTATATGGCATTCTATTCGAGATTCTGACATCACCGTCGAACCTCCGACATGTACCACTTCCAGATGTGTCGTCACCATCGTAAATTCACTACCCCTCCAGATCTGCTTCGCCTCCATAATTTTGTGTCACTTCGTTGTTCATGCTCGTGATTCCATATTTGATTTCCTTCAAATCTAGTTTAAAACCTTCAAATCTGATTTCCTTCATGTTCTCCACGTTTAATCTGATTTCATTCAAATCTAGTTTAAAATCTCCAGATCTGATTTCCTTCATGTTCTCCACGTCTAAAAACTCTAAAGCCTTATGAAGACATTATCTGACATTGGTGCCCCAAGGACACTGTCAAAATGTGTTGAGCTCTCAACCTGTCTCTCCCACATGAGGTACCTTTAGGGAAGAATTTAATGCCCCCAAGGACATTGTCAACATCCACTACAAGGGGAGGTTCTGAAAATATGGTGCTGAACATGGAAGGTGGTGGCTTGTATGGATGCTTATACTCTAATGCCTTCGTGGTATCACCTCAAAAATCGATCAACCCCCGAAGAACATAAAACTTTCACTACCACTGTAAAATGTCCATCAGAAACCTTATGAAGACATTGTCTGACATGGGTGTTGTCCAGTGTTCTTTCCTCGTAAACGTACTCTTCTTTTTTGCCTTGTTAATCCAGTCTTGCATTGTCAACTAATTTTTTAACTAGCTTGGCGATACTGTCTTCAATCCCCCAAGTAGCTAATGCGCTTAGGATATTACGATGTTGCAAAGACTTCCTGTTGTGAGACCAACTTTCTTGCCTATTCTTGGGATTGAACACCTAAAGAGTACACTTAGGAAGAATATTATGATGACACACTTATTGGAGATTCAGAGGATATTATGATGGCACACTTATTGGAGATTCAGAGGAGGTTGCCAAAGCGTTGGACATCATTAAGGTGATTTACCCAAAATTAGGCCTTCAACTGAATATCAAGAAAATCGAGCTCTTTTGGCCCTCATGTGATGGTAGGAAGCTACCCGAGGGGCTATTCTTGGCTAGCATTGGGAGCATTATAGGTTTCGACGTCCCCGCCGAACACATCAGCTCGTGCCTTGGCTCTGATACCATTTGTAACATCCCCCATATGGCACATATCACAATATTGTCCGCTTTGGGCTCTCGGCACGAAAACTTCCCAGGAGGTCACCCATCCGTGCATTGCTCTCACCCGAGCACGCTTAACTGTAGAGTTCTTATGAGATCTGTTACCCTCATGGCTTCAAAAAACACATTGTGATATATAAGGTATCCACACCCCTTTAAAGAATGCTTAGTTCTCATTCTCAGTCGATGTGGGATCAGGTGCAGCTAACCTGCCAGCCTGTAAAATTGTAACATCCTGTTTCCTCTCATTTCTTATTTCAGAGTCGTGGATCGGAAGTCGATTGTGTAAAGGCTTTGGGCCTTAAAGAGGTAATTTTTAGACCTTTTGTAAGGAGGCAATGTTGGTTATGAGATCTAAACCTTTGAATTGTGTTTTGGGCCAAATGGTAGAACGGGAAAAGTCATAGGTCGGGTTCTTGCATGAAATATGGATTTTTATTTAAGAAAATTTTTAGTCCAAGATATTTAGATAATATTTTAGAGCTCTTCAATGCCTTTTCGTAGATATAAAGAACGTCGAAAATGGAATTAGAACGAAGAAATTATGACTGTTTGAAGTTAGGACGATTTTTGGGTTAGTCGCGTACGTTGGGTGTACGGGGAGTACAATGGGCGTACTAGGGCATCTCTAGTACGTTGGGCATAAATTGAGTACGATGGGCGTACGTGATCAGTGCCCAAACCCTATTTTTGTGGTTTGATCCCTATTTAAGCTCCTTAACTTCCCCAAATCCACTATGTTCTCAGCCTCCACCTCTCCAACACGTTATCTTGAAACCCTAACCCTAGTTTGAGCCTAAAAAAGAAGATGTTTTCACTACAAATAAAATTACATTTAGTGACACAATTTGTTTTGTGCCACTATAGTAAGTTTTTAATTAGTAGCACATATATGTATTTGTCACTATATCACCTTAATTTTAGCTTTTGCCGCTTCAAATTTTCCAAAATAAAAAGGTTTCTGTCACCCCTACATTCATTTTCGTTTTCCATCTTGATCTCTGAATTTTTTGACCTAGTTCTGTCTCTACCAAAATACCCACCATTGTCCCCCACCCTAAAACCCACAATCAACCTAAGTTGCAGCTCATCTTTTATGATGCTCTATGTGCATAAACTCTTCTCACTCCTCACACACACACCTTACCCTATCCAAGGTTTTCCTTTACAGCGCCTACCCGTCGATTTAGGCCTTCCAACTCGTCGAGTAGGTCCTAAATTCTGTGTCCCACTAGTGATCTCTACTCGACGAGTTGGAGCCCCTCAACTCGTCGAGTTCCAGTCAAAAGCCCAAAATTTGAAAGGAAATTAATACCTGAAACGAGCGTTACACTTCCGGATATTGACCTTAGTAGCTTTACTACTAAAGACACCCCCTAAATCTCATAATACACTGGCGAGTGCCCTTTTTCGGAAAATTGTCCAAGATATGGAAGTGCATCTCGACATGATGGTTCGACAGAAAGCGGTTTTCCAGTGCTTATGTGCACCACATGCTCAAGATTTTCTTCTAGATATCCGTATAGGTGAGATTGGCCAATATATGTCTCTTTTGGAGTATTATACTATCCTCAAATATCGACTCATGATTCCAATATAACCAGCTGACGAGATATGTCTGGTGTGTCGCAAGACATGTTTGGACTCTTTTGGAGAGCATGCAGTTCACTGTAAAGAACTCACGGGGTTCAAATACTGTCATGATATGGTTAGGGATGTTTTGTTCGACATATTTAAGCATGTCAGGGTTTCCGCCAAGAAATAGGCATCTGTGAATTTCTTGACTGACCCGACAGAAGAAAGGTCAATCCTTAGACCGACTGGCGTTTTGATTTTTAGATAGGTTGGAGGAAAACACATATGTGTGGACCTTACATGGGTATCCCCTCTCATGGTCTTGAGGGTTGGGGTTTCACTGCGGGACAAACTCTTTTAAAAGCTGCTACATGCAAAGTCACCAAACATAAGAAATCATGCACGGAAATCAACATGTGTTCATACTATTTGCATTTGATACGTTTGGTTTCCTCGCGTTGGATACGACGGAGCTTCTTAATAGAGTACAATGGATCATAGATAACCATACTATATCGCCTAGATCTATAGATATAGTCTTCAAAAGAATTAGTTTTACCATACAAAAAGGCTTAGCGGCGAAACTTACTGCCCGTTTGTCATCTCACCCGTTGTACGATGATAATTAAATTAATGAAAATTCAATATCCAAAAAAAATATAGATTGCTAAGTTTTTAATATATATATATATATATATATATATATATATATATATATATATATATATATATATATATATATATATATATATATATATCACCAAAACAAGGCAGTTTGCCAAAGTAAAATGTTATTTATTATCAACCTACATGAAAGTTCTTCTCTTCTTAGAAGGTTGAAATTTTATATTTTTTGGACTTTGTGGAGTGCTTGCTTAAAAAGATGAAATATGTTGCGAGGATACTATGATTTTACGGTGATGCTAGAATAGAAAACCACTTGGTTCACTAATCAGGTTCAACAGAGTTGGTTCAAGAGTAAATCGAGTTCAACCAAAAAATTAATCGGTTCAATATATACAAAAACCGATGGTGAGAGAACCAAGCCAAAACCAATTATTCCTTATTATTATTATTATTAATTTTTATAAAACCAACTTAAATTTGGAGTAAATCCGGAACCATGACTCAACAAGTTTTATGGTATGTAAGTGTGAAAGAAGAAACCATGACTCAACAAGTTTTATTGGAGTCGATATGAGATTTTTTTATGTAACCAATTACGATATTCATTCTATAATTCTATTGTTTATAATTCTAATTTTTTTCCTTTATCTTTTTTGTCAAACATTATAAGATATGTCATTAATATCTTTTATGGCATGTCCAAATATTTTTTTGTATATAATTTATAGTAAAACTTAAAATTTTAGGTGGGTCAAAGGACCCACCTTGGCATACAGCCACAAGAATGTTTTGAGATGATGAGTTGGCACATAGCCATTATACGAGAGGCGATGCTTTGTCTTAGAGATTTCATTTAAAACGACTTGAAAGAGGCGATACTTTCTGTCTAGGTAATGTTATATCCTTTTAAATCATCTTTTGGATACTTGATGAAATTTATAATCCACTTGACAGAATCGAATAAAATCGAACCATTTAGATAAAAAGTAACCCAAATTCAAGGTTCATTTAAGGCAAAATATGTAAAAGCACTATATGTTTGCTTTTTTGTGTTTTGATGGTTTAACCATTATATTTTAATTTCGTCACTGAAAATCCAATGTTAGCCGGTTAATATAGTCACACTATAAAATTTTGTCATAATGCAGTTGGTTCAGTGGTATATTTAATGTTAATTTTTTTTTACTACAGCCACTAAACTTTGACAAAATTTCTATTGTTGTTGTAGACACACCAAGTCAAAGTGATTTATATAGAAAAAATTATAAAACTTGGGTGGCTCTCATTTATCAAACTAAAATATATTTGTTAAATCCTAAAAATAACCAAAATATAAAGATTTTTATGTAAGTTGTCCATATTTATCCGGAGTTTAAAAAGCCAAACAAGATTGAGATCGGAACCTTAAAAGTAAACTTTACAAGTCATATATTGGATGACACTTGGATTTTTTTTTTTCTATCAAACTTTTACGTCTTTGTCCTCTATTTAATTTTGGTGTCAACTTTTTTGTGTATGATAAGATATAACATGCGTTTGGGGTTTAGAAAAATAGTTAGTTCCACTGTAAAATAAAATTATTTGAATTTGTTGCAAATTGTGTTTTTCATTTATAACCATCAAAATACAAAGGGGGTAGTCAAGTGTATAACAATTAATTTGAAATTTGATTACTATACACTTAAAACAATACTTGTCATTAGTTAGGAAATTGAACTTGGATTGCTTTGTTGCTAAACCAATCCAATATGAGACTGATTGTGACTTGAAAAGGGTGTGCGGGGCATGTTGCTCAAACTAAGGACCGAATCCGGAGTTTTGGAATGCCAGTTTGGATTGTTTAGGGATTGAACATTCGACCATTAGGCTGGAGGGTATGGTGCCACCGAAACCACACTTCCTCCCCCACCACATAAGCGTCATATCATTTTTTACCACTCAAGTGTGGTTTGTTGCCACACATTCCCTTTTTTTGTGTTTTTTTTTAAATATTTTAATTTAATAAAACTTCTATTTTAATAATAAAAAAAAACATAATTTTTCAGTACTTGAAAAAAAAAAAAAAAAAAAAAAAACATTACATTGCATTACTAAAAAAATAAAAAAATAAAATAAAACACAAAAACCACACACATGACATTTAAATAATACTAGAAACTTAAAAAACACAAATAAAATAACTAAAGCAGACTACATAAAGTCGTTCTTCGAGAACTCGTCTTCGGGGTCATCCGGTGGATCCAAATTAAGGTTAATGTTTTGAACCCCGTAAATGTGCTCCACCAAGTCATTGCAAAGATTGTGAAATGTTTCAGTGCGACGTATCTCTGCTATCCTGTTTATATACTCTTCACCACCAATTTCTATTGGTTGTGTCTTTGGTATGGTTTCTTCCTCATCAAACGCACATATCACTCTTTCTTCGTCTTCAATAATCATGTTATGCAACATAAGACATGTATACATGATTTTTTGAAGTTTTTCCTCGCCTAAATAAGCTGCTGGTTTTTTTAATATGAACCACCGTTTCTTCAGAGCTCCAAAAGCACGCTCAACATCTTTCCTAGCTCTTTCTTGAGCTCTCTTGAATTTCTTTCGTCTAGAACCATGTGGAGCTGTAAACGATTTAACAAACACAACATACTCAGGATAGATTCCATCTACTAGATAATAACCATACTTATATGGCGTTCCACGCACTTGTAAAGAAGAATCTGGTGCGGATCCATCGTATATGTTGTTAAATATTGGTGAACGATTAAGTGGCATTCTCGTTTCATCTTCAACTATACGTTCGAATAAACATTTGAGCATTCTGAAGCGCCTACGAAAATAATACCCTTGATAAGTGGCACTTGAAAAGGGAGTGAAACCGGGTGTACATCTAGCATCGTAGCATTGTTGGAAAAAATTGCACTCCCTCGTTACATCTTCAACTATACGTTCGAATAAACCTTTGAACATTCTGAAGCGCCTACGAAAATAATACCCTTGATAAGTGGCATTCTCTGCAAAATAGTCTTGCACCAAACGTTGGTTGGCTTCTTCACGATTTCTGCAAATATATCTTCGTGTTCTCCGTTGAGAACTTGCAGCTGCGTTGTTACATACAACATTGTATGTTTGTTCCGCCATTTGAACACACGCAATAACGGTATAAAAAATAGTTTGAAATTCTTTAAAATATGAAGAAGATGACATTTTTGAGAGAGTGTTGATTTTTTTAAAAAAAAGTTTTTTTGAGAGACAAGAGATTGTGTTGTGAAAAAAAATGATGTTAGATATGTATATATAAGAAAGAAATAGCAAAAAATAAATAAATAAATAAATAAATACAAAAGCCGGCGATCCTTCCTTTTTCCCCTCAACCAATCAGAAAGCGCGACACTTAAGGACCGCAGTGCGGCCAAGACCACACCAGACCGCGGTCTGGGGTGGTGTTCCTGGTCTACGTGGCACAAAGTGCGGTTTGGGACCGCACCCACACTGTGCAGCCTTATGGTCCTAGCTAAATCTAAATGTGCATCTCTAATTATAAGTTTATAGTAATCAATATACTAACAAACAACTCAACGGATCATTTCCAAGTGAACGATCCCTTAATCCAACTAGTAAAGGATTATTAATTAATCGTCTTTTTTTTTTTTTTTTACTTCTCTTGGAACTTAGGATTAGGTTATTAGCCATAGGCGGTCTATAGGAACCGCTTTATCAACATAATTGGTCACCACCTTAGCTACTTTAGATTCTCAATTATTCCATTTCTTCTCGATTATTCCATTTCTTGATGTTATAAACTTGATAGAAAAATAGCGACACTTATAATTTTGGAATCATGTAATAGATATTTTATCTTTTACAAAATTTATTAGGAAAAGATGTTATAAAAAGATACCAAAATAAATAAAACATTAATAGAATTGTGTATCCGTTTGTTATGCTGAGTTATCAACTACACTAGTCAATGAATGGTTTAATGTATATCAAATATAAAAAAAATAAAAATAAATAAATAAATAAATAAATAATTACGAAATAAGAACTGTACAAGGAAGTTAAGGAACTCAACGGTTTTTCTGTAAATGGCTTTAATAATAATAATAATAATAATAATAATAATAATAATAATAATAAAACTGAGAGCATATATATATCCAAAAAAACTTTGTATTACATCCAAAAAAACACTTTAGAGTACAATAGTTTGGTTTTTTGTTTCTATATGACTGTATCCATTCAAATACTTTAGTGAAGTTGAACTGAATAAAAAAAAAAAATTGAAAATTAAAAAAAAGTCACGTGTTGGCATGGGTGTGTGTGCATGTGCCACATGTGAGAAGACCCTTTGACTATTAACAAACTTGGAAACAAACAAACAAACAACATTACAAGTTACAACATATTTCCTATGATCTCATAAGAATAAGATTAAGATTCCTAGTTAAGTCTTAAATATCCTAAACTTCGCAACTAATTAATTCATTTGATAAGATAAATGAAGATGATTAACACATTAATTTAATCTTCACTCAACGACACATTCATGTCTGTAGCAGCTCTTCTCCAGTCATGCACACTTGCCCCTGTTGTGTGGTTCTCAATTTGGAAATTACGTGTAGGGGTAGGGGTAGAATTAGTATTTCCTCCAGCCTCATGTGCATGTTCAATTTCATTCGACTTTTTCTGTTGTTCTATGTTGGTAGCATGAGGTTCGGTAGGGGCAACAATGGCCTTTTGTCTTTTTGGTTTTGGGTCAATTGGACTGCCTATGTTTGGTAGAAAACTCGCCACCACCACCTGATTTTTTTTAAATAATTAAAAAAGAAAAATAAAATAAAGTGTTGAATGCAAGAAACAGCAACGTGCTTCCATTGTACTTTGAAGAATCTATCAAAGAATTTTTTCAATCTATAATTGGGTAGATTTCTTTAAAAACGTTTTCCAGCATATAAATGTGTATCATTTCTTTAATTGTATGTGTGATACTCTATAAATGCTTGTGTTATACATACTTATTTAAATGTAAAAAATTTAATTTAATAAAACATTTTTTTTAAAAAGCTATAATACATAAGTATATGATATATTTGCATATACCTGAACAGGACCAGCGGCTGTGAGAAGTCCTCCAAGTTGACCCCCAACTACACGGCCATCAGGGCTACATAAAGCTATGCTCATTTTACTTTCTTGCCCTTCAATCTCCTCATTTGTGAAAGATCCGGATAATGAAAGTATTTCAAATCTTCCCTAATTGCAACAAATAGCAACACATTTTCATTTATTTGTTTATTATAATTTATAGCATCATACTTTCATTCTTCCCATTACAACATTCAACTTTGCACTTTTTTCCTTATTAACACATTGTACTTTCATCCTTTTTCTTATTAAGGCATCATACTTTACTAAAATCTACAAAATTATAGCATTGTACATTCAAATTTTTTCTTGTTAAGGTGAAAATTTTACCAATATTGCTATAATTGTATCAGGTTTTATAAAGTATAAAGTTGTATTAAGAATATGAAAGTAGCATGTGCTATAATATATAAAAAACAAATAAATGAAATTGGGTTGTTATTTCTTAGTATAAATTAAGTTTCACACCTCATATGTTACGGTGCCTCCAGATGAAGATGAACCGACATTGCGCAGAGTCACATGTGAAATGACACCAACTGCCGATAAAATGCATATTGACCGGGGCCCGTCTTTTGTGAACGAAATTATTTTAGAGGTAACATCCTGAAAACCCCAATCATAATTATTCATCATTTCTAATAATATATATTTTAACCATAATTATCAAAATGTACTCTAATTAATCATTAGACTGTTTCATATCATCATGAGCTACTCATTCTAGCTTCAATAAATACCAAAAAAAAAAAACATTTGTTTATTTCACTACAAAGATATATCTTTTTATCAATAACATATATATCCACAAACTCACAACATAAATACACAACGAAATTTGGAATAATTCCTATTATAATCATGTATAATATGATTTTTTTTATTCGTTAAACATACCTCGCCCGGATTGACAGTGACCATGTGAGGGGTAAAACTCCCACCAGATGAAATCCTGTCGCCTAAAATTGCAAAAGAAAAATGACCATAGGTTATAAATGTATTAAATTGAAATTTTGGTGATTAATTAACATTAAGTTGGTTTTAATCACATATTTTAATCTTAAAGTAGAAGTACCTAAATCCATACTCCCATAACTATTCTTTAACTTACCCTCGGAAGAATTCATTTTCACTTTCTTCTTCTTCTCAACCACAAAGCTGCCTCCGCCACTTCCTTCCCCTTCACCAAATTTTACCTCAGAATACCCACCACCGAGACCAGGCGGAGCAGAGGCGGAGATGGGAAGTGGTGACAATGTGCCGCCGCCACCAGCCATCACCCCATCTGGACCGTATTTCCTTGGCCTACCCCTCTTTTTCTTCACCAATGAACTCGGGATTCCACCACTCACCGGTGAAAAACCAGGTGGTGTAATCAGCATACTGGAATTATCGTTTCTTGGAGCCAATTGATAGCTTGATGGAGCCTCGGGTGATATTGTTTCTACTGCTGGAATCATATTTTCCCTTGAATCCATGTGATACGTGAATGCTACATTAAAAATGTAAAAAGAATATTATAAAAATAAATAAATAAATAAATAACCCAAGTAATTTGAATGAATCATCTACAGTTCTTCACAAATTGAAGAAAGTAAATTCCAATAGAAGAGAAAAAAATCGTTAAACCAAGTACATGTGTCTTGTTTTTTTAGATAATAGGATTCAAGATTTTAGCAGTCAAAACTTGATAAATCCAGATTAATTTCAAAAACTATAATCAAAAAAAGAAAAACGAAATTTAACTAAAATTAGCAAACGGATCATTCTACATTACCTTTTCAATCTAAAAACATACAGTGTTAAGATAGCAATGAAATCATAATTAAAATTACCTCAGGAAATTCTAGTATCTGGCAGAAGCTCTTCAAATATATCCAAGGAAAGCTATAAAATAATTAAAAACCGGTAAAAATGAAATCAAGCATCAAATTTTATAAACTAAACCCTAATTAGAAGAGAATATTACTGTAATCCGGTGAAATTTATGGGATTTTGAGGAGCAGTTTTGAACTTCTTATAACAAAAAAATACACACACTGAAACCCAGAAACTGCGTGAAAATTTTCACAGACACATCGATTCTGTGTGTGTAAATGTAATAAAAAAATAGATAAATTGGTATTGATTATTGGGTTGAAAAAGGTAATAATTCAAAATTCTCATAAATGAATTTGTTTTTTTACAAAATCCAATAAAGCAAATTTTAATTAAATAAAAAATATCGTGTCAGGAGTGTAAATAAATTACCATTCACTTTATTACATTATTATACCATTTCCATCTCATAATAATATTTTATCTGTTTTAAACAGTAACGATGAATGTGGAATAAATTCATTAACTGTTGAAAATAAAGTAATAAATAAAAAACTTACGAAATGAAGTAAAATTGACTTAAAATAATACTTACTATTCTTTTTTTGGGTAAATGGCACAAAAAAACACTTTTTTACACAAAAATTCGATTTTGACACCGTATTTTTTTGTGTCAATTTTGACACTGTATTTTCTAATTTGTTACAATTCTGACCAATTGACCGGTTAACCAGATTACATGCTGACGTGACATGATGACATGTCAGTTTTGATGACGTGACATGCTGACATGATATTCTGACATGTCAAAATTGATTTTTTTTCCACAAAAAACATTAAGTTTTCACCTTTTTTTTCGATTTTGACACTAAGTTTAATTTTTTATTTCAATTTTGACACTATGTTTTTTTGTTCCAATCGAACATCATTTATAAAATGGGTAAATTACACCAATCGTCCCTCGTGCATATGCCAAAAAGCACGTTCAGTCCCTATTTTCAAAATTTAACTCAGACCGTCCCTCAGTGTGTTTTTTCTTGCACACTTAGTCCCTCAACATATAAAAAGACCATTTTACCCTTATTTATTTATTTTTTGATTTATTTTATATTTCTTTGTTATTATTTATTTATTGATTTTTTTATTATAAAAATAGTTATTTACATCCTTTAAGAAAAGAAATGGACCCTAAAACGAATCACCTTCATAACTTGCCTCTTCCCCCATTCTTCTTCATTCTATCTAATCTCCACCATCACCACCAACACCAATCACCGACATCACCGTCAACATCAATCGTCATACCTTAAAGGAAAAGAAACCATAAAAAAAAAGAGAAATTCAATTGTTTGAAACCAAAAAATCCTGCAACTTAACAAATCAACAACTTGAAACCAGAAACGATGAAGATGCGAGGGTTAATCTGCAACTTGCTACTAGGTTTTACATGTTTAGGTCACAAGGGTCAGAGAGGGACGGCTTATATACCGATGTTTTGTTTTCCTCTGTGCATTTTATTTCCAGTCGATTTGGGACCCATATCACTGGAGAAGAATTGCAAGATGATCTAAAGTGGGGACATAGAAAGCTTATCGGAGAAGATGAAAAGGGGGAGGACAACCACACAGGAGCGACAAACCATCACCACTGGAACAAACCAAACCTTGTTCTCATCCATGGCTATAGAGGTAACTCAAGTGGCAATTCATAGTGCAGGTATCTCTACTGACATAAAATTTCACCATACCAGATCTGATGTTTTTCACCAAATCGTATTCGATAAGGACGGAGCTTACAGAGGTGTTTCAGGTGAAGTGCGTGTGTGACGGCATGAAGAAATTAGGGTTTAATAGATTTTTGGTGTATATAATTAGTTACAGATGTTTGTGGTGTACTAGATGGCGGATATGGATGAGAAGATGGTGGAGAAAGTGGTGCTTGTTAGCAGTGGAATTGGGTATACGAAAGAGCAGAAATCTGAGTATCTGAAGAAGATTGGACGGAATGTGGCGGAGATTTTGGTAGCAGAAAAATCAAGAGAGGGAGGAGGAAGAGGGTCGATGACGGATGTGTTAAATCAACAGTCGCCGGTGGTGATGTTATTTTTGACATCAATAGAGCAAGAAAGTGAGGTGGTCATATGTGGTGGCGATCAAGCAGGTTTCCGGCGGTCGTTGTATCCCCGGTGGCCGGATTTTAGTTTCAAATGAAGGTGAGGGACGATGAAGAGAGGGATTGAAGACTTACGGTATTTGTTGGTAAATGGGATGGGGGTGATAGGTTTAAATGTTTAGTATTAATAAATGTAAAAATAAAGGATTAAAATTTATTTTTTGTTTTTCTTATTAATACAAAATAAACCAATAAGGGCAACATAGTCATTTTATGTGAGGAAAAGGATGAATTGTGCAGATTTAAACTAACGAGGGATCAATCGTGCAAGTTTAAACCAAACAAGGGACGGTCCGAGTTAATTTTTAAAAATAGGGACTGAACGTGTTTTTCGGCATATGTACGAGGGACGATTGGTGTAATTTACCCTTATAAAATTTTGTTCAATTTTGTCTATTTTTCATTTGAAACCGTATAAATATATTTTTTTACTACATTTTAAACCGTATAAACATATTTTTATCGTTTAAAAACCATATTTTTATTTAAATACAAGGTGTTTTTTTTTTCTTACATTCAAAACATTAGTTATATCATGAGAATCAAACTAACAATAAACTTCTAATAAAATGTAAAAATTTGATGGATTGCAAACTTGATATCCGAGTTTTAATCGACTACACGCCTCCAAACCTCCAAACACATTTTAAAGTTGCATATTTAATATAAAATACAATTTTTATATAACTAATACATATTTATATATAAAAATATGGTTTGAGTGTAAAAAAAATTGTATTTGTATAAAACTATAGTTTTTAAATGAAAAAAAAAAACATATTTATATGGTTTAAAAATATTAAAAAATATTTATACAGTTTCAAATAGAAAATTGTCAATATTAAACAAAATTGGAAAAAATGATGTTCGATTTGGAACAAAAAAACATACTGTGAAAGTTGAAAGAAAAAAAATAAACTTAGTGTCAAAATCGAAAAAAAAAATGACAACTTAGTGTTTTTTGTGAGAAAAAAAATTCAATTTTGACACGTCAGCATATCATGTCAGCATGCCACGTCAGCATGTAACCTGATTAACCAGTCAAGTGGTCAGAATTGTAACAAATTGAAAAATACAGTGTCAAAATTGACAAAAAAAAAACGGTGTCAAAATCGAATTTCTGTATAAAAGAATGTTTTTTGTACCACTTACCTTTCTTTTTTATTCTACTACTTTAATGTTATCATAAGTTATTACAAATTTAACTGATTATCTCCGTCTATATAAAAATGTCTATAAAGTCTTTCATTTAATTTACTATTTTCTAAATACACATATTTTATATATATATATATATATATATATATATATATATATATATATATATATATATATATATATTCAGCTAATTAACAATATTAAAATGCATCGTTCGGAAAGATATTGCAATAATGAGATTATATGTAAAAAATTATATCATTGAGAGCGAGTTTTGTTTCCTTTTAAGCACAAATAACATCCTTTTAATACAATATTGACTGTTCCACACAAACAAAACTAAAAATACAAAACTATCGGCTCATTTTTTATAATATAAAAAATGAAAAAGTATATTTAGTATATAGCTAAAAAAAGGTGCATAGAAAAAATATTATACAATCATTATAAATTTAATATTTCATATATTAATTATTACACAATATTTTATAAAATCAATTAATTAGAAAATCAATAAAAAATATTTAAAATTTAAATATATTTAATGAATGATGAGAGGTTATATATAGACAAAATTGCAAATTTGGTCCCTGTGGTATGTCAAAACTAGCACGTTTGGTCCAAATTAGGTTTGGCCTACAAGGATGGTCCAATAGTTTTGTTTTGTTGCAAGTTTAGTCAAATGGTTTAACAGTCGTTACCAAGCTCCCGTTACTTTACCCATGCCCCTCTTACTTAAGGGTATTTTAGTTCATTCATCCATGTAATCGTTCCCGCTAAAGCTCAATAAAAGCAGTTCATCTCCTCCTTAATAAAGTAGACCGTCATTCTTTAACCAAGATCAATAAAAGCCCTAGACATAAAATCTGTTGTGTTAGTTAAGTTGCGATTTTGTGAGATTATTGGTGGATGAACATACCAATGTGGCACGTAAGGTTGTTAAACACACACTTCAAGTTTATGTCCAAACAAATTATGGATCAGGTAGAATCCAACCCTATTATCCCAGTTAAAGCTCTCCAAGAATAGCTACAAAAGAAGTATGAGGTGGGTTTCTCAATTCATAAAGTTTTTAGAGCTAAAGTAGATGCAAAAAAGATTGTAGTGGGTGATTACAAAAAAAAAACAATATGAAGTTCTAAGAGACTATATCCTTGAGTTGCAGTCAACCAATCCTGATACCACAGTCAAATTAGAACTTGGAGATATTTCAGAGTCTAACATGGTGAATTGCACTTCAAGATGTTTCAAAAGAATCTATGTTTGTCTAGGGGGGGATGAAGATAGGATTCAAAGCTTGTTTAAGAGATTTCTTGGGGTTAGATGAGGCTCATATGAAAGGCCATTATCCAGTACAGATCTTAACTGCAGTTGGATTAGATTCCAACAATGGCATATACCCACTTGCATATGCCATTGTAGAGATTGAAAACTATGAATCTTGGAAGTGGTTCCTTGAATTTCTTGGTGATGACTTGGATCTACATGTTATGTCTAATTTCACTTTTGTTAGTGACAGACAAAAGATAATGGTTGCTTTTTTTTTATTTTTAATCTTTATTTTCTAACTATGTGTTATTTTTTGCCAGGGTCTACTACAAGCAGTTAGTCAACTGTTCCCATGTGCTGAGCATAGGTTCTGTCTCAGACATATACATGAGAACATGAAGAAACAATGGAGAACTAAGGAATATAAAGATCACCTTTAGGATTGTGCCACAACTACAACAGTGCCAGAGTTTAACCATTACATGCACCAATTGAGTTTATATGACAACTTAGCATATGAATGGTTGAAGTCAATACCACCATAACATTAGGCAAAAAGCCATTTCACAGGTAAGTTGTTATGGCCCTTTTACCCTTTACCCTTTTACCCTGTTATGACCTTTTTACCCTTTTATGACCACCACAACATTATAACAATTTTACCCTTTTCTATATAGGGAGAGCAACCATAAGCATGTTGTTAAACAACCTTTGTGAGGTGTTTAATGGCAAGCTGGTTGATGGAAGAGATAAACCAATTATTAGATGCTTTGAGTTTATTATGGAATATATGATGAAGAGGATATGCAATCTCCTTAAGGTGCAACAGAAGTGTGTAGGCCCACTCACCCCAACAACAACAAAGATCATGGAGAAGAATGAAGCAGGAGCTACTCAGTACATTGCAGATTGGTATAGTGATGAAAAATACCAAGTCAAAGGCCCATGGAGTGGTCAACATATTTTTGATATGCAAGAAAGGGTATGTAGCTACAGGAAATGGGAATTAATAGGTATCCCTTGCAGACATGTGATTTCTATGTTGTATAACAAAGCATATCATGGTGAGTGTGTACAAGAGCTCCATACTTATGTCCACAAGGTGCACTGGCTACAAACTTGGAAAACTGCATATGGATACAAGGTGGAACCAATTAAAGGTCGGGCATTGTGGCCTAGAAGTGAGTATCCAATACAGATCACACCTCCTCCACACCGTAATCAACCTGGGAGACCCAAAAGGAAGAGAAGTGTAGTGACAAAGAACATGGTTTGGCATGCGGAATTAAAGCTTGCACAATTGAACATGGTGATTTGGGTGTTTAAGAGATATATTGAATGTATATGGTGTTACAAAAAGGATCTAGATCTAGACTACATAATTAACACACACTTACACACTCACTTCTACATCTCTCAAAGCACACCTCTACAAGTGGACAAACCCACTATTTATAGAGGTGTTTACATGTCTCTCTCTCACTCTAACTACCAAATGGGTCTAAAGGTTAAAGCACCACATGCAAGTGGGTTTTACAAAAGTCAAACATTTACAAAGTCATGAATGAATAACTTTGCACCCCAACATTCTCCCCCTCAAAGTTAGGAATGAATGACCCACTTCAAATCTTCCAAAATCAAGCACTACGCGGTTCGAGCCTCAAAGGTGACACATGTCGAAACGAACTTCAATCTTCAATTCTTCCATAACTCTTCAATTTGGGCTCTACGATGTGAGACCATACAATCCGAGCAGCAACGAATGATTAAGAGTATTCCAAACTCTAAATAATCACCCAATAGTTGCGCATAAAAACACACCCCAAAAATCTTCAATAAATCCAAACCCATTTCGAATACATCACTTCCGAACTTCCAATTGCATCATCTCGTGGCTTCCAAACTTCAAGATCACTTCGGTCTTCAAATCCACGTAATATGAAAAATTCAAGTTCGAATTTCCATATAAAACTTCTCCCCCTTTTTATAATCGAAATTTGATTATAAAACTCCAAAGGAAAAAGAACGTGCTCTATTCGGAATTTTTCGTGTCAAAACTCTCCCTTAACATGTGGCATAAACTTTGTGCTTCAATCCGGAAAACCCAAAAAATATTCAATTTTTTATTGCCGTTCACGGATCGCTTTTGACAAAATTTCTCAAAAATGGGTAGAAATTGTCAATTTCAAAATTCTGCAGTGACCCGTTGCGCCCAAAACAGCAAAATATGCAAAACTCTCCCCCTTTTCCAATTCTGGGTAAAAAAACGTCAATTTGCACAAACTGCAGGGGCCTGAAATGCACAATCTTTAATTTTCAGCAAAAAATAGTAATTTTTCGAATTTGGATGAAAACTGCCAAAAATTTGAAGTTTCAGGGACCATCTTTGTAAATTCTGCCCTTTTTCTCAAACATACGAAGACTTGTACCAAAAATACGAAGGCACAAACAATTTCCGAAATTAGGTGAAAAGTGTTAAACATACGAAACTTGCTTTAATTTTCGAAGTGTTGCATATTCGAAGGTTTTTGACCCTTCAAATTCGAAAATTTTGCTTTTATGCATCAAAGCGTTGAACAAATATTCGAAGCCTGCTTTTTCCCTTTGTCAAACAGTCAAAACTTTAAGGGTCAGTTTCGTAAAGTCGACTTCTTCTTCTTCAATTCACGCTTGGTACATTTTCATATAAACTTCTCATACGAAAATCTCAGATAACAAACACACAAAAGTTTTTCAACCAAACATACGTAGATTTTCTTTCTCTCTCCTCTTCGTATGAAAATCAGCTTCCCAATTTTTTTTTTCAAACACACGAATGCGAAGCATACGAAGCCTCTATTATGAACAGTAATGAGTAGTAACCTTCTTCACCCTTCGTTAATTGAGAAACCTTTCGAATAAAATCCAATACTCTTCGTATGAAAATCAAACCAACCCTTCAAATATTTCTCAAACAAAATTTCTCCCCTTCGTTTCCAAACAACCCTTTGTTTTTCCCAATTATACTCAAAACGAACGAAATCCATTCTTCGTTTCTTACAGTTCTTCGTCTGATTCCCATTTCATTTAAACCCAAAACATCAACAAATCCTTTTCCCAAAAGACTTCGTCATCAACGATTTCTTCAAAATCGAAGCTATCGACAATCCCAAATCATTCGTTCAAACTCCAAATACCCTTCGTATATGTAAAATCCAAACCCAAAATCATCAACAAATCTACCATCTGACCCCAAACTCATTGATATACTGAAATCCTTCGTGCTTCGCTTTTCACAACAATCGATTCTGAGAAACATTCATAACCTTGACCATTGATTTAGAATCGAATTCCAAAATCGTCATCAAACATTCATTCCTTTGATATCATCAAAATCAATACCAATGATGCCAAATAAATCGACCATTAGCCTCAAAGCAATCGAACAACAGATCGTTTATCAATTCATCAAATCGAATATAAACTTTTGAAGTCTTCTGTTATCGTTCAAATCGAGTTCGATTCCAATTTAATTCCAAATACAATTTGATTTCCCAAGCTGTCAAGGCTAGCATCGATCGATTCCAGCACACATCGACTATCAACCTCAATGCATTAACCTCGAGATCAAATTCACAGTTGATACACACTTACAATTCTAATCAAGATCAAATCGAACCTAGACTGACTTTTCATTCATCTGTTCTTAATCAGTTTCATCGAGGTAAAAATTAGATCTACAATCTCTTGATCATTATCGATTGTGAGTTAGAAAACATCAAATAAAATCGATTCACAAGATTAATAAGCTCAAACACATCCAAATCGATCGACAAGATTGATAAAATAATAACGAGATCTCCGAAATAAGAATCGATGTAAAGATGAACACGATTGAACACAGAAATATTTAATCTATTTGATAATGGATGCAAATCAGTGACGGATCATATATTTGGGCTCAAACAAATCATGAACAATACCAAGATTCAAACTATTTTGGGCTTAAAATGAGATTTGGGCTTCGAATATATCTGATGAACAGTATTCGATCTAGATTTTGTGCTAGAATCAATTTTCAATTAATTTCATTCTTTTGGACTTGGTTATTGAAGTACGAACAGTAACCGATTGTTTTTTGCCAGATTTTGATTAAATTGAACACTTGGAAATTTAAGATTGAATCAAGCAAACAAATATGAGATTTGCTGTAGCTTTGATCAACAAAAAAAATATTGGATCACAACAAATGGGTTTTTCAAAGAAATTTTGATCCAACGAGTCAAACGATCAAAAATCAAGAACGCAACGCACGAATTCAATGATTACGAGAGATTATAGAGAGAGACTCACCAAAATTGATCAAATTGCAACAAAATTTGCCAAACCGAGAATCGTTCTTCAAATATCACCTTGATCTTGAAGACCCGCTCTGATACCAATTGTAGTGACAAAGAACATGGTTTGGCATGCGGAATTAAAGCTTGCACAATTGAACATGGTGATTTGGGTGTTTAAGAGATATATTGAACGTATATGGTGTTACAAAAAGGATCTAGATCTAGACTACATAATTAACACACACTTACACACTCACTTCTACATCTCTCAAAGCACACCTCTACAAGTGGACAAACCTACTATTTATAGAGGTGTTTACATGTCTCTCTCTCACTCTAACTACCAAATGGGTCTAAAGGCTAAAGCACCACATGCAAGTGGGTTTTACAAAAGTCAAACATTTACAAAGTCATTAATGAATAACTTTGCACCCCAACAAGAAGGCGGTCCATGGAGGAGAGAAGTCAAAGCAAGAGTCAGAGTTAGAGTCAAAGGTCAGATGTTGGTCCCAGTGAGATTCATGGTCATGGCCCACATGGTAGTGGGAAACTAATAAGAAAGTTTGTTAGTGTGACATGTAGTAAGTGTGGAAACAAAGGTCACAACTCCAGGACATGCAAAGGTCAGGGAGGGACTTGATGGACTATGTTGGTTTTATCTTTTGGTTTCATTATGTTGAACAACTTTGTTTGGATTCCTAAATGTAGGATGTCTTTTGTTGCAATGACTTCGTTTTCAATTAACTTATGACATGTATTTTGAAGATGGTAATATGTATTATATGTTTAGTATGCTTTTCTACTAACTACATATAGATGCATGCTATGTTATCTTTAACAGGTTATGTATGAACAACAGAACAAATCCATAATTGGTCAATAGATACCAAATTTTCATTACCATTAATTTGCATTACAATAATGTTCTACATTTGCAAAAAAAAAAACTAGCTAAACTAGACACATATACCCTTAACCTATTACAAAAGATAACCATAACATTTGTGCACTTACAAAAACACCAACAAAACAACAAAAAAATCCAGTTATAGACTAGGTAATACTTCAACATAGTTGCTTGTTCTTTGATCTTCACCACTTCTTTTTCATGCTTACTTGCTTGATCTTTTATATCATCCACTATTTTTCGTAGCTTATTGATTGTCCTAAGCAGTCCTGGTATTATAACTTTGGAACGAGCACACATGGGTTCATCATACCACCCAATAACCCACATGACGAATTCTTGAAAAAAAGAAGAAAGAAACATTAGATTATCAGGGAGCAGTCGTCAAAAACAAACTGTAACATACTTACCGTGTCAGGACATCCCCAAAATCGGTGTCGTAGGTTGTTATCTATCCACGATGTCCAAACTATTGCCCACTTTCTATAGAAGCACATCACCATTGTTGATGGAGAAGATGAAATCACAGAGGGGGCGATTGATGGAGAAGATGAAATCACAGATGGAGTGATCGTTAGGGCTTGTTGCTGGAGACGAGAATAGAGACGTTGAAGTCTCTTTATGGACTAAATAATAATAAAATAATAAATGAGCTAGATGAATGGACTAAAATACACTTAAGTGAGAGGGGCATGGATAAAGTAACGGGAGCTTGGTAACGGCTATTAAGCCATTGGACTAAACTTGCAACAAAAAGAAACTATTGGACCATCCTTGCAAGCCAAACCCAATTTGGACCAAACGTGCTAGTTTTGACATACCACAGGGACCAAATTTCCAATTTTGTCTTATATATACAAAACATAAAGGGACATTGATTTATTATGTAATTAACTTTTCGATTTGTTCACACCTGGTTAACTATTTTTTTTATATATATCTAGGTAACGAACTTTTTGGAAGTATTTACATATGATCATTATGACCAATTGTGGCATGTTACATCCGTTTATAATGATCATACGTGAACACTTCCAAAAAGTTCGTTATCTATATGTGTAATAATAATAATAATAATAATAATAATAATAATAATAATAATAATAATAATAATTACCCAGATATAAAAAAAATCAAAAAGTTAATTACCCTAGTAAGTCAATTTCTTTTCTTTTTGAGTAAATTACACGATTCGTCTCTTGTCTAAGTGTCAAAAAGCACGTTTGGTCCTTATTTTCAAAAATTAACTCGGACTATCTCTATAATGTTTTTTTCTCATTCGGACCGTCCCTGACAACGGTAAAATGACTATTTTACCCTTTCTATTTCTTTTTTGATATATATTTTGATTTTTTGGTTATTAACAATTTAAAAGAAAATAAAAACAAAAACTGGACCCACCACCACAAACACTTATCATCTACTCTAATCCTCCCTATATCTTTAAATCATCATCAGTCCATCTTCTTCATTTCATCTTTACTTGAGAGACGGTCACCAGAGACACCGCCATCGCCACTACCGTCGGCATCACCACCGTCATCGATGGTTTACAAATCTGTACTCCAAATGTAACTCTCTTTATATTCCGTTTTTAGATCTACATTCTACGGTTTGTTTGTTGGTGGTGGTGCCGGAAAAATATGTCTACTCCGGTGTTCATTGGTTGGTGGTGGTGGTGCTGCTGGAAAACGTATATTTTCATATCTACCCACTAAAGACACCTCCTCTGTCATCTTCTTCTTTCTCACTCAAAATCCTAGCTAAATAGAATCAATGTCGGCCTTCCTCTTCACACTAACAAATGAAGCACCACCTTTAGCTTTCTACCCATCGGAGTCCAACACCATACCCGCGACTCTAGATCTCCTCCTCCTTCGTTCTGACCACCGCCCTAGCCACCATTGAAATCAACGATCGCTGACCTTTCCAACGGGTTCTGCACAGGTGAAAGAAGAGAGAAAGGTAATGAATGATTTATATAAATTTTCAGATTTGTTACATGTTTGGTATTTTATTGGAAATCATTTTTGGTGCGGATGTGTTTGTATAGAAAGGGATGAGTGATTAGTTTTCCATCTCTGGGATTTAATTGTCTGGGGTAAGAATAGTGGGTGATGGTGGTGGTGCCAGAAAAGATTGGTGGTGGTGTGTCGGAAAATGTGTAAGGTGGTATTTGGTTTTTGGAAAAAACCTCTTCAGACCTCTTATTTCTATGCGACACAGCACATGTGCAATACTTTTCATCTCGTAGTTGTTTGTTTTTTAGAAGTCTTCGGAGTTTGCGCGTGCTCTGTTTGGCACAACACTTGTACTACCTCTTCCAACCTTTTCCAACCCCTTCTTATTCTTTTTTTCTTGCTGAAAATTTGATTATATGTTGTTGAAATCTTATTTCACATTTTTTTTTTCTTTATTCTTGTTGGATTTTTATTTTTTTTTCGTTTTTTATATTGAATAATGTTAATTTTTTGATTGAATATAATTATTCTTTTGCTAAAATATCTTTATTTTTTTTTTATTAAAATATCAATATTTTTTACTGAAATATAATTAATTATTGCCTAAATGTTATACATTATTAAATTTTCGGTATTAAAAAACTATTTTCGATTTATAAAATTAGTTTATTTTAATTTTGTAATATCTGCAGCAGTATGCAGATGTTAAAAAAACAAACATGCTTCTTATTACAGTCTGCATCCGTTTGGTCCACCTCTTCTATTGCAGAGGGTTGCAGAGGTGGTCCGTAGACTTCATGAATTTTTGCTTCAGAGAATCAAACAACACCTCAGTGAAGAAGGGTACATATGGAAACATAGGATGGGAGTGTAAGAGATGTGGTATGTGGTAGGAGATGGTGGTCAATGGCTGACCGGGGAGTATAAGTTGGAGATGGTTAGTCGTTGACCAGAGAGTATTGGTCGGCGATGGTTGGTTAGTGGTGATTGGAGTTACCCAGACTTCTAGTTGATTAGGAATGGTGTTTGGATGAAGAGAAAGATAAAGAGTGTATATAAGGTGGGGTCTATTACTTTAAATAAAAAAATAAATATGTAATTAATTAAATATATCTAACAAATAAAAAAGAAATAGATAAGGACAAAATCATCTTTTTATGGTTGGTTAACGACATTAGGGATGAAGTATGCAAAATTTAAACAAATGAGGGACTGTGTGAGTTAATTTTTGAAAATAGGGACGAAACATGCTTTTTGACACTTGGGCAAAGGGACTCGTGTAATTTACTCTTTATTTTTATTTTACCTTCTAATTTTTGGTATACAATTTAACCTAAATGGTAAATATTTTTAAAACCACACCATTTTGGTAAATATCTTTTTAAAATACACTACTTTGGTAAAAAAAAATATGAAAAAAAAACACTCTAGATTTGACATAGAAAAAAAAACACATCGTTGTTTTATAGAATTTTATTATTTAAGATATTAAATATAAAAAATTAAATTTACTAAATACTAAAAGTATTAGAATTGGGGACCAATAATATAAAACAATAAACCGTTTGATGAGTTAAAACTTATAATGTTGTTATTAGAGCTACATGTTTTGATTTGTATTTCAAGTTATGTTTTTTAATTGATATGGTTCTCTAATTTTTCTTTCTGGTATCAATTTTCTTTTCCTGCAAGGATTGTGATGCATTGAGTTGTGGTGGTGGAAAATGTCATGAAGGTACAGTAGATTGTGGTGTTGGTTCGCCAGAGTTTAAAGACCGAAAAAAAAATGAATTGTGAAGACATCGATGTCATTAATGATGCAAAGGAAATAGAAGTTGAGAATGATGAAAGATATGATGGTGACTAGTGGGATCCAAATTAAATTTCTTAAATGTGGTTTCATGTTTAGGGTGAGAAGATATAAATATATTGGGTTTATTATTATTTTTTTTTGTAATATATAAAAAATAAATACATAAATAAGAAAATTAATTAAAAATAAATTAATAAGGGCACAATAGTCTTTTTATGTAAGACAAGGACCAACGCGCAACAAAAATAAACAGTAAGGACCATTCGGATTAAAAAATAAGTTAGGGATCAAACATGCAAATTACCCCAAATCACAGTGACCATTCGTGTAATTTACTCTTACCTTTTCGTTTTGTTCATATTTGGGTAACTACTTTTTTTGTACACATCTAGATAACTAATTTGTTGAAAATGTTCACATATGACCATTATGAGCGGATGTAACATGTTACAACCAGTGATAATGGTTATATGTGAACGCTTCCAAATAGTTCGTTACATAGATGTGTACAAAATAAAAAGTTATCCGGATGTGAACAAACCGAAAAATTAATTACCTTAATAAGACAATTTTCCAAACATAAAAGTAGAATAAGAAAACAAAATATACGGTGTGATTGATGAAAAAAGCACACAAAATAAGTCTTTAACTCCAATACTAAAATGCTATAAACGATTTAATTCAAACAATAATAAGTTTAACCATTATACATGCTCTCTTAAGTTTCAAGCTATTGTAATTATTAGAAACCTTTAAATTTTAGAGTTAGACCACTAAAATAACCATGAAAAGTAAGCTCTATTTCAAGATAATCATATTTTCTCAATCTTTTAAAAATATATATATATATATATATATATATATATATATATATATATATATATATATATATATATATATATATATATATATCCATGAACACTAGACTGTGACTAGCTATTACACATTTCTCTGACATAGGATGAACGTTAAGGGTTCATGATACAGAATGATATTTATAATAACACATTTTTCTCACATCCATCGAAGGATAAGATGGATGAAGTAGTTTGATGATCTGGAGACATGGAGCATATCACTAACCAGTCATGGAGTTCTCATCTAGCATAAAGTTTATCAATATATATTTTAAACATACTAAACTTTCCAATATATATATTTTAAACATACTAAACTTTCCAATAATCGAAACTGTAACATCCAAACACTCAGGATAAAATTTTTTATTTTTCATTTAAATAAAACCCCTTGTTTATATAAAAACCCAAATCACAAACATAAGTGCTAAATACAATCATTCAAAATCAGAGTGTTCAAAATGGGCAGAAATCAAATTACAGAGGACGTGTACGATCAAACATTCTCTTTTCTTCGATATCTAAAGTACATGAAACAAGAAATCAAAGATGTAAGTCCAAGCTTAGTGAGTTTCCCAAAATACCCAATACATCGAAATATACAATTATAATGTATGCAATTAGGGTTTGTTGGCTCATGGCCTCAACCCAACCATCTCGAGTTTGTTGACACAAAGTCTCAACCTAACCATCCGATTTTGTTGACACAGAGTCTCAACCCAACCATCCGGGTTTGTTGACATTGAGTCTCAATGTAACACTCCAAATATCACAAAAATTTAAAATTTTTAAAATCAACCATTAACCATCATTGTTTATAAAAAGAGTCATTGTTTCAAAAGTAAAGTATCATAGTGTCCTAAATATCCATATCAAATAAATAGGAAGATGTGCATGATCAGGACTTTTCATTCTTATGATCCTCGGAAGTACCTGGAACAATAAACTAAAACTGTAAGCCAAAGCTTAATGAGTTCCCCCAATGTACCAACACACTACAAAACAAACAAAGCATGGAAATATGAACCTTTAGCCTGATTGGACCGCCTCGCAGAGCCTACAACCTATCTGGATCGTTTTACGAGCCATCGACATGACTGGACCACCTTGCAGGGCCTACAACCTATCTGGACCACTCTACGGACTGTCGGCCTGACTGTACCGCCTCGCTGGACCTACAACCTATATGGTCATCCCCGAGTGTCTTGGCCTTCAACACAAAGTAGGACCGCCTCAACCCAAACACAATATATCGACATGTGTAATAGATAAACATACATATAGAGCCAAAAAATACAAATAATCATACAGATTTACGAGTATAGTGAGGAAAACTCACCTCTCAGACTGAACGCAAGTTGGATAAATCTCTGCTCCGAAAACCTTCTCTACTTGACAAAATATTGCCCAACTAAAATTAATACCAAATTACCCAAAATACCATTTGGTCAAGATTGGTAAAACCTAACAAACCCGCTGAGTCAATCCAATCGAGTACACTGGGCGTACTCCTCTGTACGCAGGGAGTACACGCTTGGTGACTAGGAAGCGGGGTTTGACCGCGTACGCGCAGCGTACCAATTGGTACACCCATCGTATGCAGATGAATTCCTTCTTAATGCAATAAGTGCTTAATACTTGATCTTTTCTTCTAAAATGCAGATCCAAGTTCAAAATGTTAACTACTTAACCCATTAAGACCTTGTAGCACATGCATGGATGGGAAGAAATTATCAAGACCACATTTGTATGCTTCAAAACACTTCAAGACGTCTGAAAGGAAAACTTAAATGGATTGGGTAGCTTATACTTAAAATACCCAACTAATAGGACCAAAAGGACACAAACTTCATGGCTAACTTAGATTTATGCATAGCTTTATCAGGATTAAAGCTTTTTACCTCCAAGTGAT